TAAGTGTTAACTTGTCAATATGTCCGAGTGGTTAAGGAGATAGACTTGAAATCTATTGAGCTATGCTTGTGTAGGTTTGAATCTGGTTGTTGACGCATTTTTTTGCTGTTGCCGGTTGTATTCCCTTGCAAGTTATCTTTGATGTATCTATTAAAATGATCTTTATATGAGAGTCAACTTGTCAATATGTCTAAGTGGTTAAGGAGATAGATTCAAAATTTATTGGGCTTTGCCTGCGCAAGTTCGAATCTTGCTGTTGATGCATTTTATTGTAAGCGGTCTTGAAATTTGCAAGTTTGAATTGAAATTTGAGGTCGTAAGCGGTCATGAAATTTGCGAGAAATCTATTGGGCAGAAGCGGCGTCGAGCCTCATAGACAGATAGCGATGGTTTCAAGCTTCAACGACCATCTACGAGAACGGCAACGAGCTTTAGTGAGACCACCGTTAGCTAGCTATATATCGGTGAGGCGACTAGCGGCATCCAGCTTTGGCTCGGCTTTCTGCAGTTGTTTACTTATTTTTTGAAATATAACTTCTTTTGTGAGTCGAAAACAAAACTTGGATTCTTTATGTGGAGGCATTCCCCGGAGGTATAACGGTTAATTTTTCTGCATATTATGCCAGAATATGAAAATTTTAAGGTTTTATTTTTTGAATCGTGATTTGGTAAACAAGGTGGTTGAGTGGTTCTTATATTAATATCCACTTATTTTAAGCTTGTTATTGACTTTGATGCAAAAATTTCCTCTAGTTTGTATAATTTTGTTACTCTGTTCTTTTGCTTTTCATTGTTGTATAATTAATACAATGGATGGGTGACTTTGAAAATCATAATTCTTCAATTTGTATTCCCTTGCAAGTTATCTTTGGTGTATCTATTAGAATGATCTTTGCGTAAGTGTTAACTTGCCAATATGTCCGAGTGGTTAAGGAGATAGACTTGAAACCTATTGGGCTTTGCATGCGCAGGTTTGAATCCTGCTGTTGACGCATTTTTTTGCTCTTGCCGGTTGTTTTCCCTTGCAAGTTGTCTTTAATGTATCTACTAGAACGATCTTTTCATGAGAGTCAAATTGTCAATATGTCTGAGTGGTTAAGGAGTTGTTTTCCCATGCAAGTTGTCTTTAATGTATCTACTAGAACGATCTTTTCATGAGAGTCAAATTGTCAATATGTCCGAGTGGTTAAGGAGATAGACTCTAAATCTATTGGGCTTTGACTACGCGAGGTCGGCGAGACCACTATCATCCATTTGCAAGGCGAGAAGCGGCGTCGAGCCTCGTAGACAGACAACGGCTTCAAGCTTCAACGACCATCTACGAGGCGAGACAACGGCACTATCATCCATCTGCAAGGCGAGAAGCGGCGTCGAGCCTCGTAGACAGACAGCGGCTTCAAGCTTCAACGACCATCTACGAGGCGAGACAACGACAACGAGCTTTATGGAGACCACCGTTAGCTATATATCTGTGAGGCGACTAGCGGCATACAGCTTCGGCTCGGATTTCTGCTCAGTGTTTTACTTATTTTTTGAAGTATAACTTCTTTTGTGAGCCCAAAACTAAGCCTGGATTCTTTATGTGGATGCATCTCCCGGAGGTATAACGGTTAATTTTTCGGCATATTATGCCGGAATATGAAAATTTTAAGGTTTTATTTTGTGAATCGTGATTTGGTAAACAAGGTGGTTGAGTGGTTCTTATATTAATATCCATTTATTTTAAGCTTGCTATCGACTTGGATTCAAAAATTTCCTCTAGTTTGTATAATGTTTTTTTACTCTGTTCTTTTGCTTTTCATTGTTGTATAATTAATACAATGGATGGGTGACTTTGAAAAGCATAATTCTTCAATTTGTATTCCCCTGCTAGTTATCTTTTGTGTATCTATTTGAATGATCTTTGCATATGTGTTAACTTGTCAATATGTCCGAGTGGTTAAGGAGATAGACTTGAAATCTATTGGGCTTTGCTTGCGCAAGTTTGAATCCTTTTGTTGACGCATTTTTTTGCTGTTGCCGGTTTTTTTCCCTTCCAAGTTGTCTTTGATGTATCTATTAGAATGATCTTAATATGAGAGTCAACTTGTCATTATGTCCGAGTGGTTAAGGAGATAGACTCGAAATCTATTGGGCTTTGCCTGTGTAGATTTGAATCCTGCTGTTGATGCATTTTATTGTAAGCGGTCTTGAAATTTGCAAGTTTAACTTGAAATTTGCGAGAAATCTACTGGGCTTTGACTAGTCGTATGCGGTTTTGAAATTAGCGAGAAATCTATTGGGCTTATTGCCTGACTCCAAATCTATTGGGCTTATTGTCTGACTCCAAATCTATTGGGCTTATTGCCAGACTCCAAATCTATTGGGCTTATTGCCTGACTCCAAATCTATTGGGCTTTGACTATGCGAGGTCGGCGAAACCACTATCATCCATCTGCAAGGCGAGAAGCGGCGTCTAGCCTAGTAGACAGACAGCGGCTTCAAGCTTCAACGACCATCTACGAGGCGAGACAACGGCACTATCATCCATCTGCAAGGTGAGAAGCGGCGTCGAGCCTGGTAGACAAACAGCGGCTTCAAGCTTCAACGACAATCTACGAGGCGAGACAACGACAACGAGCTTTAGCGAGACCACCGTTAGCTATATATCAGTGAGGCGACTAGCGGCGTCCAGCTCCAACTTGGCTTTCTGCTCAGTGTTTTACTTATTTTTTGAAGTATAACTTCTTTTGTGAGTCCAAAACTAAACTTGGATTCTTTATGTGGATGCATCTCCTGGAGGTATAACGGTTAATTTTTCTGCATATTATGCAGAATATGAAAATTTTAAAGTTTTATTTTGTGAATCGTGATTTGGTAAACAAGGTGGTTGCGAGGTTCATATATTAATATCCATTTATTTTAAGCTTGTTATCGACTTGGATTCAAAAATTTCCTCTAGTTTGTATAATTTTGTTACTCTGTTCTTTTGCTTTTCATTGTCGTATAATTAATACATGACTTTGAAAATCATAATTCTTCAATTTGTATTCCCTTGCAAGTTATCTTTGGTGTATCTGTTACGATGATCTTTACATAAGTGTTAACTTGTTAGTATGTCCGAGTGGTTAAGGAGATAGACTTGAAATTTATTGGGCTTTGCCTGCGCAGGTTCGAATCTTGCTATTTACGCATTTTATTTTGGGCTTATTGCCTGACTCCAAATCTATTGGGCTTATTGCCTGACTCCAAATCTATTGGGCTTATTGCCTGACTCCAAATCTATTGGGCTTTTGGCCTGACTCCAAATCTATTGGGCTTATGGCCTGACTCTAAATCTATTGGGCTTTGACTAAGCAAGATCACTATCATCCATCTGCAAGGCGAGAAGCGGCGTCGAGCCTCGTTGACAGACAGCGGCTTCAAGCTTCAACGACCAAGCTTCAACGACCATCTACGTGGCGAGACAACGGCAAGGAACTTTAGCGAGACAACCGTTAGCTATATATCGGTGAGGCGACTAGCAGCATCCAGCTTCGGCTCGGCTTTCTGCTCAGTGTTTTACTTATTTTTTGAATTATAACTTCTTTTGTGAGTCCAAAACTAAACTTGGATTCTTTATGTGGATGCATCTCCCGGAGGTATAACAGTTAATTTTTCTGCATATTATGCCAGAATATGAAAATTTTAAGGTTTTATTTTGTGAATTGTGATTTGGTAAACAAGGTGGTTGAGTGGTTCTTATATTAATATCCATATATTTTTAGCTTGTTATCGACTTGGTTTCAAAAATGTCATCTAGTTTGTATAATTTTGTTAATCTGTTCTTTTGCTTTTCAGTGTTGAATAATTAATACAATGGGTGGGTTACTTTGAAAATCATAATTCTTCAATTTGTATTTCCTTGCAAGTTATCTTTTGTGTATCTATTAGAATGATCTTTGCATAAGCGTTAACTTTTCAATATGTCTGAGTGGTTAAGGAGATAGACTTGAAATCTATTGGGCTTTGCTTGCGCAAGTTTGAATCCTGTTGTTGACGCATTTTTTTGCTGTTGCCGGTTGTTTTCCCTGGCAAGTTGTCTTTGATGTATCTATTAGAGTGATCTTTATATTAGAGTCAAATTGTCAATATGTCCGAGTGGTTAAGGAGATAGACTCGAAATCTATTGGGCTTTGCCTGCGCAGGTTTGAATCCTGCTGTTGACGCATTTTATTATAAGCGATCTTGAAATTTGCGAGAAATCTACTGTGCTTTGACTAGTCGTAAGCGGTTTTGAAATTAGCGAGAAATCTATTGGGCCTATTGCGTGACTCCAAATCTATTGGGCTTATTGCCTAACTCCAAATCTATTGGGCTTATTGCCTGACTCCAAATTTATTGGGTTTATTGCCTGACTCCAAATCTATTGGGCTTTGACTATGCGAGGTCGGCGAGACCACTATCATCCATCTGCAAGGCGATAAGCGGCGTCAAGCCTCGTAGACGGACAGCGGCTTCAAGCTTCAACGACAATCTACGAGGCGAGACAAAGGCAACGAGCTTTAGCGATTCCACCGTTAGCTATGTATCGGTGAGGCGACTAGCGGCGTCCAGCTCCGGCTCGGCTTTCTGCTTAATGTTTTACTTATTTTTTGAAGTATAACTTCTTTTGTGAGTCCAAAACTAAACTTGGATTCTTTATGTGGATGCATCTCCTGGAAGTATAACGGTTAATTTTTCTGCATATTATGCGAGAATATGAAAATTTTAAGGTTTTATTTTGTTAATCGTGATTTGGTAAACAAGGTGGTTGAGTGGTTCATATATTAATATCCATTTATTTTAAGCTTGTTATCGACTTGGATTCAAAAATTTCCTCTAGTTTGTATAATTTTGTTACTTTGTTCTTTTGCTTTTCATTGTTGTATATTTAATACAATGGATGGGTGACTTTGAAAATCATAATTCTTCAATTTGTATTCCCTTGCAAGTTGTCTTTGGTGTATCTATTATAATGATCTTTACCTAAGTGTTAACTTGTTAATATGTCTAAGTGGTTAAGGAGATAGACTTGAAATCTATTGGGCTTTGCCTGCGCAGGTTCAAATCTTGTTATTGATGCATTTTATTTTGGGCTTATTGCCTGACTCCAAATCTATTGGGCATATTGCCTGACTCCAAATCTATTGGGCTTATGGCCTGACTCCAAATCTATTGAGCTTATGGCCTGACTCTAAATCTATTGGGCTTTGACTACGCAAGGTCACTATCATCCATCTGCAAGGCGAGAAGCGGCGTCGAGCCTCGTTGACAGACAGCGGCTTCAAGCTTCAACGACCATCTATGAGGCGAGACAACGACAAGGAACTTTAGCGAGACAACCGTTAGCTATATATCGGTGAGGCGACTAGCAGTATCCAGCTTCGGCTCGGCTTTCTGCTCAGTGTTTTACTTATTTTTTGAATTACAACTTCTTTTGTGAGTCCAAAACTAAACTTGGATTCTTTATGTGGATGCATGTCCCGGAGGTATAACAGTTAATTTTTCTGCATATTATGCCAGAATATGAAAATTTTAAGGTTTTATTTTGTGAATTGCGATTTGGTAAACAAGGTGGTTGAGTGGTTCTTATATTAATATCCATATATTTTTAGCTTGTTATCGACTTGGATTCAAAAATGTCCTCTAGTTTGTATAATTTTGTTACTCTGTTCTTTTGCTTTTCATTGTTGAATAATTAATACAATGGGTGGGTTACTTTGAAAATCATAATTCTTCAATTTGTATTCCCTTGCAAGTTATCTTTTGTGTATCTATTAGAATGATCTTTGCATAAGCGTTAACTTGTCAATATGTCTGAGTGGTTAAGGAGATAGACTTGAAATCTATTGGGCTTTGCTTGCGCAAGTTTGAATCCTGTTGTTGACGCATTTTTTTGCTGTTGCCGGTTGTTTTCCCTGGCAAGTTGTCTTTGATGTATCTATTAGAATGATCTTTATATTAGAGTCAAATTGTCAATATGTCCAAGTGGTTAAGGAGATAGACTCGAAATCTATTGGGCTTTGCCTGCGTAGGTTTGAATCCTGCTGTTGACGCATTTTATTATAAGCGATCTTGAAATTTGCAAGAAATCTACTGTGCTTTGACTAGTCGTAAGCGGTTTTGAAATTAGCGAGAAATCTATTGGGCTTATTGCGTGACTCCAAATCTATTGGGCTTATTGCCTGACTCCAAATCTATTGGGCTTATTGCCTGACTCCAAATTTATTGGGTTTATTGCCTGACTCCAAATCTATTGGGCTTTGACTATGCGAGGTCGGCGAGACCACTATCATCCATCTGCAAGGCGATAAGCGGCGTCGAGCCTCATAGACGGAGAGCGGCTTCAAGCCTCAACGACAATCTACGAGGCGAGACAAAGGCAACGAGCTTTAGCGAGACCACCGTTAGCTATATATCGGTGAGGCGACTAGCGGCGTCCAGCTCCGGCTCGGCTTTCTGCTTAATGTTTTACTTATTTTTTGAAAGTATAACTTCTTTTGTGAGTCCAAAACTAAACTTGGATTCTTTATGTGGATGCATCTCCTGGAAGTATAACGGTTAATTTTTCTGCATATTATGCTAGAATATGAAAATTTTAAGGTTTTATTTTGTTAATCGTGATTTGGTAAACAAGGTGGTTGAGTGGTTCATATATTAATTATCTATTTATTTTAAGCTTGTTATCGACTTGGGTTCAAAAATTTCCTCTAGTTTGTATAATTTTGTTACTTTGTTCTTTTGCTTTTCATTGTTGTATATTTAATACAATGGATGGGTGACTTTGAAAATCATAATTCTTCAATTTGTATTCCCTTGCAAGTTATCTTTGGTGTATCTATTAGAATGATCTTTGCATAATTGTTAACTTGTTAATATGTTTGAGTGGTTAAGGAGATAGACTTGAAATCTATTGGGTTTTGATTGTGCAGGTTTGAATCCTGTTGTTGACACATTTTTTTTGCTGTTGCCGGTTGTTTTCCCTAGCAAGTTGTCTTTGATGTATCTATTATAATGATTTTTACATGAGAGTTGTCAATATATTTGAGTGGTTAAGGAGATAGACTTGAAATCTATTAGGTTTTGCTTGCGCAGGTTCGAATTTTGCTGTTGACGCATTTTATTGTAAGTGGTCTTGAAATTTGCGAGAAATTTGCAAGTTTGAATTGAAATTTGCGAGAAATCTATTGGGCTTTAAATACACGATGTCGTAAGCGGTCTAAAAATCTATTGGGCTTATTGCCTGACTCAAAATCTATTGGGCTTATTGCCTGACTCAAAATCTATTGGGCTTATTGCCTGACTCCAAATCTATTGGGCTTTAACTATGCGAGGTCGGCGAGACCACTATCATCCTTCTGCTTGGCGAGACGCGGCATCGAGCCTCATAGACAGACAGCGGCTTCAAGCTTCAACGACAATCTACTAGGCGAGACAATGGCAAAGAGCTTTAGCGAGACCACCGTTAGCTATATATTGGTGAGGCGACTGGCGGCGTCCAGCTCCGGCTCGACTTTTTGCTCAGTGTTTTACTTATTTTTTGAAGTATAACTTCTTTTGTGAGTCCAAAACTAAACTTGGATTATTTATGTGGATGCATCTCCCGGAGGTATAAAGGTTAATTTTTCTGCATATTATGCCAGAATATGAAAATTTTAAGGTTGTATTTTGTGAATCGTGATTTGGTAAACAAGGTGGTTGAGTGGTTCTTATATTAATATCCATTGATTTTAACCTCGTTATCGACTTGGATTCAAAAATTTCCTCTAGTTTGTATAATTTTGTTACTCAGTTCTTTTGCTTTTCATTGTTGTATATTTAATACAATGGATGGGTGACTTTGAAAATCATAATTCTTCAATTTGTATTCCCTTGCAAGTTATCTTTGGTGTATCAATTAGAATGATCTTTGCATAATTGTTAACTTGTCAATATGTCCGAGTGGTTAAGGAGATAGACTTGAAATCTATTAGGCTTTGCTTGTGTAGGTTTGAATCTTGTTGTTGACACATTTTTTTGCTGTTGCCGATTGTTTTCCCTTGCAAGTTGTCTTTGATGTATCTATTATAATGATCTTTGCATGAGAGTGAACTTGTCAATATGTCCGAGTGGTTAAGGAGATAGACTTGAAGTCTATTAGGTTTTGCCTGCGCAGGTTCGAATCCTGCTGTTGACGCATTTTATTGTAAGCGGTCTTGAAATTTGCGAGAAATTTGCAAGTTTGAATTGAAATTTCAAAGAAATCTCTTGGGCTTTGACTTCACGATGTCGTAAGCGGTCTAAAAATCTATTGGGCTTTAAATACACGATGTCGTAAGCGGTCTAAAAATCTATTGGGCTTATTGCCTTACTCAAAATCTATTGGGCTTATTGCCTGACTCAAAATCTATTTGGCTTACTGCCTGACGCAAAATCTATTGGGCTTATTGCCTGACTCCAAATCTATTGGGCTTTGACTATGCGAGGTCGGCGAGACCACTATCATCCATCTGCAAGGCGAGAAGCGGCATCGAGCCTCGTAGACAGACAGCGGCTTCAAGCTTCAACGACCATCTACGAGGCGAGACAATGGCACTATCATCCATCTGCAAGGTGAGAAGCGGCATCGAGCCTCGTTGACAGACAGCGGCTTCAAGCTTCAACGACAATCTACGAGGCGATACAACGGCAACGAGCTTTAGCGAGACCACCGTTAGCTATATATTGGTGAGGCGACTAGCGGCGTCCAGCTCCGGCTCAGCTTTTTGCTCAGTGTTTTACTTATTTTTTGAAGTATAACTTCTTTTGTGAGTCCAAAACTAAACTTGGATTCTTTATGTGGATGCATCTCCTGGAGGTATAACGGTTAATTTTTCTGCATATTATGCCAGAATATGAAAATTTTAAGGTTTTATTTTGTGAATCGTGATTTGGTAAACAAGGTGGTTGAGTGGTTCATATATTAATATCCATTTATTTTAAGCTTGTTATCGACTTGGATTCAAAAATTTCCTCTAGTTTGAACAATTTTGTTACTCTGTTCTTTTGCTTTTCATTGTTGTATATTTAATACAATGGATGGGTGACTTTGAAAATCATAATTCTTCAATTTGTATTCCCTTGCAAGTTATCTTTCGTGTATCTATTAGAATGATCTTTGCATAATTGTTAACTTGTCAATATGTCTAAATGGTTAAGGAAATAGACTTGAAATCTATTGGGCTTTGCTTGTGCAGGTTTGAATCCTGTTGTTGACACATTTTTTTGCTGTTGCCGGTTGTTTTCCCTTGCAAGTTGTCTTTGATGTATCTATTATAATTATCTTTGCATGAGAGTCAACGTGTTAATATGTCTGAGTGGTTAAGGAGATAGACTTGAAATCTATTGGGCTTTGCCTGCGCAGGTTTGAATCCCACTGTTGACATATTTTATTGTAAGCGGTCTTGAACTTTGCAAATTTGAATTGAAATTTGTGAGAAATGTATTGGGCTTTGACTACACGATTTTGCAAGTTTGAATTGAAATTTGCGAGAAATCAATTGGGCGTTTGAATTGAAATTTGCGAGAAATCTATTTGGCTTTGACTACACGATTTCGTAAGCGGTCTCAAAATCTATTGGGCTTATTGCCTGACTCAAAATATATTGGGCAACATATTAGACTTTGACAAGGCAAGGAAAATATATTGGGCAACATATTAGACTTTGACAAGGCGAGGAAAATATATTGGGCAACATATTAGACTTTGACAAGGCGAGGTCGACGAGACGACTATCATCCATCTGCAAGGCTAGACAGACAGCGGCTTCAAGCTTCAACGACCATCTACGAGGCGAGACAACGGCACTATCATCCATCTGCAATGAGACGCGGCTTTGAGCCTCGTAAACAGACAACGGCTTCAAGCTTCAACGACCAACTACGAGGCGAGACAACGGCAACGAGCTTTAGCGAGACCATCGTTAGCTATATATCGGTGAGGCGACTAGCGGCATCTAGCTTCGGCTTGGCTTTCTGCTCAGTATTTTGCTTAGTTTTTGAAGTATAACATCTTTAGTGATTCCAAAACTAAACTTGCGTTCTGTATGTGGATGCATCTCCAG